GTTGAGTGTGGTGTGTGAGAGAGTGTTGGCTTTAGACACTACTGTTACTCGATGGGGGTGGGGGGGATGAATAGGGAGGCACAGTTACCAGCAAAATGCTCGGTCCTTGATGTGGAAAGGTAAAGGAAAGTTGTGTGAGTCATGCATGTGAATGAGGAAGTTTGACTTTAGTATGGGAATGCACTGGTTTTCTCTTGAACTTGTTTCTCTTTATGTGTTGTGCAGGTAGGTAGAAGGATGTTTGCAAAGGGGATTGATTATGCTTGTTGGAGAAAAGAGAAAAGGATAGTCTTTTCTTTACTTCTCACCCGCCTTTTCTTTACTTCTCACCCGCCTGCATGCCAAAAATGATTTGATGTTTTGAAAAACTTTAATTTTGCGTGCACCGCAAATTGGATTCAATTGAAATAAAGCAGAAAAGGTCAAATGGATATAGCTTTCTCCCCATGATTGACTTTTTATATCCTGAACGACCTCATCTACCTATACCTGTCCAAATGGTTCTCGTTGTCTATCTTCTTCAGTTTCTTTTCCATCCAAGTTATCCAAAATTTATGAGTAATGAGAATAAAAGAAATCTACTCGTGGCGAACACAGTCTTTCTCTCTAGGAAGCATCGTTGCCAACTGGGAGACGGGCCGCAAAGCACCAGAGGACTGAAGGATTCACTGAGTCTAGGACGATGGGATGATCTGATTGCGTACAAGGGATGAATAAGTGCCTGTGAATATTTGTCCTTCGGGACATCCATTAAAATTGGAACGATACAGAGAAGATTATCATGGCCCCTGCGCAGGGATGACACGCATAAATCGAGAGTTGGTAAAAAAAAATAAAATGAAATAAAAAAAGTTACCTGTGAATATCTGGAGTTATCTCGGTTGCTGAATCTTCCTGGGTCTGTTGGGAGCAAATGTCCTGGCCACTTGCTTCCCCAGCCACCAAGCAGTGAGTAGCGTTGATTCTCAAACATCTCCTCTTCCACCTCCTCTCCGGGCTTGCTTTCAATCTCTTTGTCGTCTGCTTCTGCAAGCCAGCGATGGCAGAGACTCACGTCCAATGGGATATTACAACTGTTCTGTAAAACTGCCAGGCTCCGGAATTCTAAGCACTTGTAGGTCTGTTTGTGTTGCACAAAGACAGCCAGGTTCACTCCGTTCACTGTCTTGGCAATCGTCGTGAAAGCGAAGTTGGACTTGAATCCAGTCCAAGGGCCGCTTGACCTTGTGCTGACCTGAATGCTCCCCTGCTCTCTTTCATCATTGAAACTTGGTTTCCGCTTGATGATCTGATGAAAATCAAGCTTTGGCCCAATGGAGAAAACACATTGCCCCACTGTCACATACCCCAGATTTTTTGCCTCTCCATTTGGCTTAGAAGTATACCTTCCACGATCATGTTCTTCACCCACCTGTCTCAAGTTCGGCCAATTACACACACACACACACACACACACACACACACACACACACACAGATATGGTTCAGACAAAGGTGACTATGTGCTAAGCCACACAACCCACATCCATACACGAAGTATACACGTGCATATACAGAGGCATACATACAAGTTGGTATGAGTAACGTCAACCACTTTTCTCTCTCACGGGTGGGTATCGCTAACTCTGGGCGATGTGGTGAGTCCATATCCATCAATCAAATGCATCCTGGGCAGACTGTTGGGGTTCAACCTCCTGATGAGTCGATGAAAGTCTGACGAAACAGTCTGGCACAGTCATGCTTTTTTGGAGTGTATAAACACACATGCACACACAAGCAATATGTGGGGTTTCTTCAAAAGAGCGCGTTACCTCTGATGAGCTTGGAGAAAGTGGACTAAGTGAATAGTCATCATGAGGAACGGTTCTCCAGTCAATCTCTGTCCCTCTTGCTAAAAGGTCTTTCAGTGAGCTCCATCGACGCCCTTCCGTTGTAGTCCCTTCTCTAATAGGAATTATTGCTTCTCCAATAGGCACACCTGTTCAAGCGATGGCACCCCCACCCTCCCCCATGAACAACAATTCAGGCACCCTTCTTTTGGTTTCAAATTGCAGCCCACTGAGCTGAGTGAAAACCCTCGCAATTAACTCTGGAGATACCTGTACTCAAGGCTGCAAAACCGGTGGCCCGGACTCCAGTCGAAACAGCCCGCCCTGCCCTGGGAAAAGCACCTATGTTTCCCCTTTCCGACGACAAGTATTCCCAAGCCTATTTTTCCTCATGCCACGGTTGACGACAGGGTGATTGACAGAGAATATTCTGTTCATTCTCTTTATACTCATACAAGTTGGCATTTGCTGCCTCCATTGATGATTGGTTTGACTCCAGGTCTGGTCGACTTTTCTTTGGAAGTGAAGAATTCCTCACGGAATCAAAGATGAAAAAAAAAAGGAAACAACAGAATCAGGCTACCGCACCCCCCTTAGACCCCTTCAGACCATTGAAAACCGATTAATAGTTTTGAAACCTCGAACTTTTGTGCTTGGGAACGCCTGGTGCACAGGCCAACCAGGCAGGCAGGGTCCACTTCGGTGGTAATAGTTTTGAATTCTCGTCCCATAACCGAACAAATGTGTGTGAGCCAAAAATTGCTCAAACTAGAATTCTGAAGTTCAAACGTAAAAAATAGTAAAATACCCACCATACGCTTCCCTTCATTATGGCCAAGGGAACCCAAGACAACGGCCTCGACTTCCTCTTTCAGAAGGATGTACCACCCTTAGTGCACCACCTAAGCGGATCCTAAAGCCCTTGGAAGAAACTGCCTTGTGTATTTGAGAACCTCTCAAGTTGTTAGAGCAACCCGCCAAAAATTACTATAAATGCAAGGTTCATGAAAACCGTCTCAATTTTCCTAACCTGCTAACATTCTGATATAAAATTCTATAAATTTTCATTTTACTCTCTCCATCCACAATTTCACATACTCGCTCTCATCCTCCTGTCCTTCTAAAGAAGCCAATCACCATCGTAGGCCCGATGCAGCCGCGAACGCAACATTGTGGTTTTATTGATGAGCGTAGGCGAGAAATTGGGCTTTTGCACATCGCAATACTTCAGTGTCAGTGTGTTCTCATTTGGTGTGCTCTCGGCTCCATAATTCTGCTCGACTTTGCTCATATATGCTTGGCAAGTTGTCTTGCTGCGAGTCTTTTTGCAGCTCGCTTGAGCTTAGCAGATTTATATTCCCACTGGTTGTTCCCCGCATAGCTCGTGTTTTGTATTTTTATTTTTATCTTGAAAAATGTGAGCAGACCCTCAACCAAAAGTTATTTGTATTCCTGCTATTGCAATTTTACACACAGTTTCTTCCGGAATTTCTTGATTTCTCCCCTGGGCAGACCAGCCTAGTCGGTACCCGGTTGGACAAAGCCCGTCTGGGGCTGCCCAGGACCACTTAGATAATAAGGATATTCTTTCTATTTAGAAAGTATTTCGTGAACACCTAAGAAGAAAAAGAATCATCGAAAATGTGGGGGCAAAATTTACACAATGCCAGGAGAAGGCCAGTCTCACCTTGCCCTCCATTTGCTGCTTGATTTATGACCACCACCTCCAAGGATGCTTCTCCCTATCATCAGGCAAGGACAACACAATGCCATTTGTCATCTGCTTTCCCTTAATAGACTACGACTTTGTATTTTGGGAGCAAACAACCTCTAATTACCCGATCGATCATGAAATCCATAGGCGAAGTAGTTTAAGTGGACAGCAGAAATTATGAGGATTCCTAGTTCCATGAAGGTGTCACCTTTCCCCTTTCCAGCCATCTCCTCTCCCCTCAAAATTATCATAATTTTCGGAAAGCATCAATGGAAGATTATCACAGACAAACCGCCGCTTGAACCTGAGCACAGACAAACCGCCGCTTGAACCTAAGACCATCTGGCGATACAAGTCTGGCATTCGAGTGCTAGCACACTACCAAACTGGCTCTGCTGGCCCAAGACCAGAGGACCGCAAAGTGGACAGCAGAAATGATGAGAATTCCTAGTTCCATGAAGGGGTCACCTTTCCCCTTTCCAGCCGTCTCCTCTCCCCTCAAAGTTATTATCATTCTGGAAAAGCATCAACAAAAGAAGATCACAGATAAACCACCGCTTGAACCTGAGACCATCTACGATACAAGTCTGGCATACGAGTACTACTGTCTTCCCCCGAACATACTGCACATGTGTTGTATTCAAGTTTTTGAAAAAATAAAAAACTCCAATAGAAATTATAGAATACATATGCGTTGTATTAAAAAAACAGGGATGTTCGAATATAACACGTATGCGCTATATTCAAATAGACCGCAACCTATGCATTGTATTCGTTTACAACGCACATGCATTATGTTCAGGGGATGACGGTAGCACACTACCAAACTGGTTCTGCCGAGCCTTCAATGGGCCCAAGGACCTCATAGCCTTTCCTGCCAGAGTAGTGTTAGCTGCTCAGCGAATTCCTATAATTTCCCTCCATATATGCCATTCAAGAGCTTGTGTAACCACAAATGTGTCGTACATGCCATCCAAGACCGGAGGACCTCGTAGCCTTTCCTGCCAGAGCAGTGCTAGCTGCTCAGCGAATTCCTATGACTTCATACCACACCTTTAGAGTCAAACTGAGAAAGGTTTCCATCAAGCATCATAATTTCTCTGTAACTAATCACAACCCTAAATAGTAAATAAAACCATCGCCCCTGTCATAGTTTCCACTTGTAGTTTTCCACCATATGGCTCTCATTGATACCCACTGGGACTACCGTCTTCACCCGAATAGAACGCCCTGTCATTATAGCTGCATGTGGGGCAACTTCCAGTCTAGATACAGCGATAATGAACAGGAGTTCTAATGCAGCCCTGCTAGACTGCTAGAGGAGCAAGACCTTAACAGCCCGGTATGGTTTCCCAATGGCCTGTTCTTTCAGCTGGTCATGCTGGCACATTCTATTGAACTCCTGGATGACCTTTCTGAATTGTTTGGCATTTTCATAGCCCTAGATAATTCAGACAACAAGAGTCACAACCTTGGTGCCCGCTCATACAGGTGTGCGGCAGATGCACAAAAAGAAAAAACAAGGAAACAAGGGTATACCTCATATGATGAATGAACCATTCAAGAGAACGTACACGACTGGAAAAGAAGTTTAAGGAACGACTTCAACCAGCAGTCGGTCAGAGCCTCTTCTTCCCAATGCAGATTTTTGCTGCGCACCATTTCCTGCCCACCCGGCACGATGCATGACTTGGCTGGCGGTTATCGCCCCCTGTGCTGCAACAAAATAGCTGGTTAAAGTACGGGTGGTTTATGGACAATGGCACAATTGGATTTCTCCAGCGACCATCGGCAGGGAGGTAAAACTCATGTAGAACACAGGATTTTGGAAGAGTCGAAGATGGCAAGGAGGAGCATGATACATTAGGGGCTGAGAAAGAGAAGGACGAGGTCACTGGCTGCAAGGCGAGGATGCTATAGACACTACTCTCCTCCTCCTGTGCATCTGAGCTGCAGTCCCCTTTGCCCTTGCAGCTTTACCGGTTGTGCCAGCTCACCTGATTACAACCAAGGACTACCGGAGTGGGGAACAGTCTAAACAGGTCATACAGGTGTGTGACAGATGCACAGATAAATAACTTGAAAAACAAAAAAACACGAGAACACCTCACTCTACAACCAAAGACTCTAAATGATTCGAAAAGCGCGACTCAGTGAAAATTACACTATCACGGGGCAAATTTAATACTGCTCCCTGGTTACTGTGGGAGGGCTTACTGGCAGGGCGGTAAGACTCCAATAGAAAATGCAGGCTTTTGAAATGTCAAACATGGCTACAGTTATAGCTGTTGGATTTGAGGCAACTTCTACTCTACATACTGTGATAATGGTGATAATGACCGTGGGGCACGCATTGTATTCAGGGGAAGACGGTAGAATGAGCAACATAGTAGGGGCTGGAAAAGAGGACGACGAGTCATGGGCTACGAGGCAAAGACACTTGATGCTACTCTCCTCGTGCATGTCCATGTAGCGGTCTCCTTTGCCCTTGCAGCTTTACAGCTATGTGGTCGCCATTACCCACCTCATGAGGGATTTCAAAGATGAAAACCTCGTTCCAAACTGCCTGGCTTGGTTGGCACTGCCCTTCTTGCATGCCGATGCATGACCGTATGCTGCGTGTCCGTGCAATCTGTGGCAAAGTCTTCTCATATTCCTTCGTTTGAAGCTTGTCCAGATTGAGTCGGAGCGTACAAAGATACTCCACTCCTGTCACCTCACCTGATGGAACTGGAAGTCTCTGCCACATTTGCAAAACACCCACAACCCTGTGTCAATAACCAAGTGGGATGCAGCTGGCCCAACCAAATTGATACCATTGAAGAAAATGCAATGAGAATGCAACAGCACCAGGAGTGAAGCTCATGAGAAACGGTAAGAACAAACCAAGAGGACACAAACCAGTTTGACGTAAAAACTATGGGGCTGGGTGATCAACCAAACAACAGGTGGTGCAACCACATGCTGATGCGAGAGCACAGATTTGACATGAACCAACAGTTGCAAGTATAGTTTCCAGCTGCTCGCATTCGGCGGCCAGCCAGTTGTCACATAACTACAAACTAAAAGAGCGCACTTTGCGGAACAAAGAATAAAAGCAAAAAACGGGCACAGTGATAACATGCAAAAATTAAAACAAAAAGAAAAAACAAGGGCAGATTGAAACCATTAAATTTCTCATTCCTCTTTGAACTCCACCTCCACTGTGCCTCTCACGTGCAAGGCTCGCCACGTTGATGAAGTTGAGCGCGAGCTGCCCCCATCCCCATATGCCATAACCTGTCTCTTATACACATCTTGTGCCTCTCACGTGCAAGGCTCGCCACGTTGATGAAGTTGAGCGCGAGCTGCCCCCATCCCCATATGCCATAACAGCCCACTTGCACGCTGTGAGAGAGGCAGAGTGAAGGGGAAGGTGTTAAACACAGGGAAAAGCTCAAGAATGAGGCTGTCCTTGACGACAGAAAGGACACACATTGTAAGGATGGGGTGGATGAGCGCATGGAAGACCTAACTGAGCATTCTCAAAACAACAACTGCCACGACGGCTGGCATTAAGCATGCCAACCATACATTCCTGACAAATAGCATGTCTATTGCAGGCCAGAATAAAGGAAGAACGCCCCCCACAAAAGAGCATGCATTTGCGACAAATTAGCTGGTTAGGTAATGCTTTGACGCTGACCCGGCAGGATTGACCGAGGCAAGTTCGTGCATGTACCTACTGGTTAGCCCTGGGTGCAAATAAAATGACATAGGACATACAAAGAGAAGGGTGGATGAGCGATGGAGGGAACATTTCAGAAATAGCAAAGAGTACGAGGGAAAGATGGAAAGCAGAACACGACTATATACTCGGATGGCAAAATGGGGATGGTCGACGTACTTTGCGCTACCAGTAATAAGGGGTAGGCAAGACGAGCTAGAGATAGCGGAGAAGGTGCTAATCACGAGATGGCGACCGAGCCTTAAACTCAAAAGGATATAGACCAACACGCAGGAGGAGACCAAGGAAATGGAAAAAGGAAAGAGGAAGATAATGAAGGAAGCAAGGGAAGAATGGGGCCGGGAGAGGGAGGGAGGCGGCAGATAAATTATTCAGTTCATATTAGAGGGGGAAGGGAGCTTGCTGATGATACGACAGTTGGTGGAAAGAACGAGGGCAACTAAAAGTAGGGAGTGGAAAGTAGTAGGAGGAAATGTGTCGATAGAGGGATGGGCGATTGTTAAGAGGGAATTCGAAGAGTAAAAGGTAAGGATTAATGGAGGAAGAGCTGCGCTACTGAAGCAAGTAAATGCGGGAATAGAGAAAGGGTGTGAACTGGAATTTAAAAACTTCCAGAAGCGCAAGCCGGAACATGGGAGAACAAAAAGCAGTTAATTAGAGTATGACGCTGTCATGGATGACCTCGCAGCTGTACCAGAAAAGTATCGAGGAGCTGGAGAAGTTCTCCAGAAAGGGAACAAGACAAAAGTTGAAGGCGATCATTGGCGGAGAGGCGAAGCGGAAATTCGGTGCGAGACTGAGAAGAAGGATAGTAGCAAAAGTAACCTATGATCGCAGAATTAGTAAGGAGGTAGGGAGGATACTAGAGGCAAGATTCGGGAGGGTGTCAAACCAAGTGCTTTGAGCGAGCTTGTGTGTCACAGGCTCTGAACTGTCGGGAGCAAGAACAGGGCAGTAGGGGATCTGATTCACAACCACCGGGCCTAGTCCCGTAAGGTGGTAGCTGTCTGCAACCTGTGCAGGCTATGCCTTTCCTAAAGTGGAAGGCCATGTAAGCATGCGCTTGAGCAGTCGGGAGGACATACCTCCGATTTTGAGGAACGCAAAGAACGTACTGAGGAAAGAAGGGAAGGAATGGAAGAAAAGGGTTGATGGAGGAGGGAGTTAAACGACTGTTTGCGAAGTGAAGAGATACAAGAGTTGATAGGAATAAGAGAGGTGGAAAACTGTTACGGGGGAGAAGAGGATAAGAAAGGAAATTGGGGGCCGGCGATGGAATTGAGAAGAGAGCTCGAAGGGTTAGTAGTACGCACACCTGTGGATAAGAACCCAGCGGAAACACTGCTCATGTGCCCCAAAAAGAATGCGGAGGAGATGGAAACGATGTTCTGGGAAAACTCGGCATTTGAACCAGTCCCAGAACGTGAAGAGGAATCGATAGTTCGGTGCGAGGACGAAGACCACGAGAGGAAGCTGGAACAGTTTGGGAAATGGAAAGGAGGAGGGAGATGGGGCCAGAGCTACGTGCTGCCGAAAAACAAGGTCGTCACAAGATTCAGACTGATCATGCCAAGCTGTACTGAACCATTGAAGACGGCCTGCAGAAGAGTGGCTGGCTAGAATCTTAAATGGACTGCTGAGCATGCTCCCGGAGTCAGATCACTTCAACCTCAGATCGGTGAAGGATTTAAAAGAGAAACTGAGGAAAGTGGAGACCTGGGCAAAGGAAAACGGGGAAGGGGTTGTCCATGCAGCAGCTCGTGACATTAAAGAAATGTTCAGTAAGCTGCCTCATGAGTCAATCCTAAAGGCAGTTGACTCAATCCTGAGTTGGTTCAAGGAAAGAGGAAAGAAAGGTGTGGCAGTTAAGACCTAAGGGAAGGGAATTTCACTTGGAGAGAAAGATCGATCAGACGGATAGATGTTTGTTAAGATGAGTATGAATAGGAGCTTTATCGAGCTTGAGTTATAGAATAAATTGCTTACGGCGAGTGGGAGACTGGTGAAACAGACAATAAGGATACAGATGAGGAAAAGTTCAAGTCCACCGCTAGCCTGTACCCTATGTGCATTTAATGAGTATTGTTTCCTGAGTTCATTAGGGAAGAGGATCGAGGGCTTGTCCAAGGGGTTAGACTAATTGACGATTTGACCATCTTCGACTGGGAAGGTCTGAGAAGGAAGGAAGTTGAGAGGAGCCAAGAAAGTGGAAACCATGTACAATGAGAACCTACAGCTAAAAAGGACGGACAATGGGGAAAGGAAGTGGGTTTTTTGGGGTGAGGGTTGAGCCTGGAAAACAACACAGTCTCAATCAACTGAAGGTATAGGGCGAAGAATGAAAGAGCACATCTGGAAGGATGCAAGGTTGACGTACAGGGTCATCCAGAACTTCGACTCATATACGGATGTGAGGCAAAAACATGCCGCAGTTATGGCTGCCCTTTACCGAATCAGGGCCTGCACACACCGAGAAGAACTGATAGGTGTCCCGCTGCTGACACTCAAAAAGGAACTAAGGATTACAAAGAGAACACAATAAAGAATGAAAAACAAGAAAGAAAACCCTTTCATCCTCATTTTCTCATCATACGGAAGGGACCGGGTCCCCAAATCACTCATTTTCCACCACATGGAATAGTTATTGGGAAATCCTCTCATTAGGAGTGATTGAGTCCCAGACTCCTAACCCAACGTTGAGGTGGGAAAAGCCAGCGCCAATACACTTTCTCTTAACCACTCTATAACTTTAGTGAGCAGTGCGCACCAAACCCACGGCATGACATTCCAAAGGTAGGTGCATTTGGTTGGGCAGTAGACACCTGGCAATTGCAATCATGTTTACCAAGTAGGCATTGCATTCAATAAATAGAGATGAGTACATTATCCCGCGTTCATCATACATAGCATGAAAGCTTGACAAGGTTCTGTGGCTCTACATCACAAGAGTGACAATACACCTGTCTTACCTTTCCTTGGACTACACGGACTGCAAGAAACTGACGACTTTGCTCTGACTTGGGCAAAGTAGCCTGAGGGAAAGTTGGTGGTGGCACATGAACTGGAAGTTCCTCATTTGGGCTGATTGATTGGACCTCAGAGAAATTGTCCGCTGTCCGCAGAAATAGATCAGCTCCTGTATGATTGATAACCACCACTTTCAGCAAGTTCTCCTCATCCAGTGCTGATCTGGTAAGTTTTTGAACAAGGGCTTGTTCATTACGATCTTCATCTTTCGCATTTTTCGTTACCTGCCAATCGACAGAATCAGCAGGTCAACCTCATGTAAGCGATTGTTACTGCTTTTACAAGATGACGAGTGAACATTCAGTCTGAAAAAATGAACATATTTCATCCATAAAGACAAAGGGATTCGATCCAAACATACACGAGCATAAAAATAACATACATTATGCACCAGCCTACAAAAAAAAAACTTTACACACACACACACACACACACACACACACACACACACACACACACACACACACACACAATCAGTTTTATGTCTGTTTGTTTTCCTCTTGCTGTCTGTTCTTCCTCTTATTTTTCTTACCCAACTGAGCACCCGTAAGGAGTGCCAAACAGTCGGTGGTTCCTTGTTTGGAGTGCCTACTGCACTCTTATGGGGGCTGCTCAGTTCGGGACGGCTGTGTTGCCTGTGGGTGATGACGGATGCTCGTCGGAGTGACTCCCTGGCTCAGTGGGTGGTGGGAACCAACAGTCTGCAGGGTTCAATTGTGATGTGAGTAGGTCATGCGCTGCTTTGCACCGTGTTGGATGTGTGGACTGCCTCGTCTGCACTCCACCCCCGCCTTGCTGCCTGTCCCGCTTGCTTTGCATGTGGCTCTCTGCAAGTTGCTGTGTTCGCTGTGTGGTGTGGCCGTGTTGTCAGTGTTGCCTTGCGCTTCGCTGCTCCGCTGCCTTGCTGCCCATCCGCTGGCTGTGCCTTCCGTGTTTGCCGCTTGTGTGCCTTGTAGGTTGGTTGCCTTGTTGCTGGTGCCTTGTGCTCCGCTCCACAGTTGCCGAGCTGCTGGTCCGCTTGCCCTGTCGTCCCTTTGCAGTGTGGTTACCTTGCTTGTGTTGTCTTGTGCTTCACTACATGGTTGCCGGGCTGCATGTCCTGCGTACCATGTGTTCCTTGCAGTCATTTTTGGCGTTGTGCAGCCATGTTGCCTCTACTGTGTTGCCTGGTGCTTCACAGGGTTGCTGCCCGCTGCTATGTTCCGCTTGGGGACAGTCTGCCTTCACCATGGGTCAGAGGGTTCATGACCCAAACGTTCCTGCTGATGCAGCAGAGCAGGTCCAGAACAGACGGGGGCTGCGCACAGTGTTGGTATGATCTTCGACATAAAAGAGGAATGATCTTCCACATAAAAGAGATTGCGGACGGTTTGTCTTGCTGCAGCACAGGGCCAGAGGAATGATCTTCGACATAAAAGAGATTGCGGACGGTTTGTCGTGGCAAGAAAACAGCATCATTTCGTAAGAAATAGGTGACATCAGTCATGGCATGGACCATGGTGCCGTTGTCCCACAGCTCCCAGTGGTTAGAGGCATGTACAATGGCCATGTAATGGCCAGGCCCATGCACAATGCAGGCAGAGATGTGGGATGGAGGATTAAACCACTCACCTGCTCGAGGTCCCTCACTGCTACTCGTATGACAGCAATGGTAAAGCCTCCTTCACTGGTATAATTACTATCCTCTGGCTGTAGTTGGGGAAGATCAGCATCAAGCTGAAGGGCGATTGCAAGAAAGTCTGATGGTGTATAAATATATTGTGGCCATGGCGGAATATATATATATATATCGTCAAATAGAATATATATATCGTCACAAACAGAACTGCCCGGTAAAACCGTAGGCAGAGAGAGAGAAGAGGACAACAAACGTATATATGACGATATATATATCGTCACACGATATATATATATCGTATATATATATAGTCAAACAGAGCTGTCCGCTAAACCGTAGGCAGAGAGGGAGAAGAGGACAACAAACGAGGGGCTGTGGCAAACTATATATATCGTCAAATAGAACTGCCCGGTAAACCGTAGGCAGAGAGGGAGAAGAGGACAACAAACGAGGGGCTGTGACAAACTGTTTCGTCGGAGTTTCACCGACTCATCAGGAGGTATATATCGTCACAAACAGAACTGCCCGGTTAACCGTAGGCAGAGAGAGAGAAGATATATATATATATTGTCACATCACTACAAACTAAAAGAGCGCACTTTGCGGAACAAAGAATAAAAGCAAAAAACGGGCACAGTGAT